AACCTTAGGTTCAAACACATACGAGGAAGCCGCTGCTTACATTCAGCTCCAGTTTGAAAACCTCAACAAGAGAAAAGACACAAAAGAGATCTACACCCACTTCACTTGTGCCACAGACACAAACAACATCCAGTTTGTGTTTGATGCTGTCACAGATGTTATTATCAAGAACAACCTCAAGGACTGTGGACTGTTTTAAACTTCACAATACTCTGTAAACAGTAAGCAAGCTTTTGTTTGTTTGTTTGTTTGTTTGTATATTTATGTGCTTAATTTTTTCTTGGGAGCATTCTGAAAAAAAAAGTGTTTTCACATGACATCACAGCAGCCATATATATTTTTGTCCCAAAACAATGAATTGGTGGCCATGTTGGTGTACCAAACCAATCCTGTGGGAGTTCAACTGTTTTCTTATGTAAACACTCTTCTGTTCCAATATGTTTGCATGGCTGCTGGACACGTGAGTGAAAACTCTCCATAATAGCAGTAAACAATATTGTTCTGGTTTTTGTTTTGTTTTGTTTTGTTTTGTTTTGTTTTGTTTTGTTTTGTTTTGTTTTGTTTTGTTTTGTTTTGTTTTGTTTTGTTTTGTTTTGTTTTGTTTTGTTTTGTTTTGTTTTGTTTTGGTCCGTTTTTCTTTTAATTGGAATCCTGACTCCTGAGGTGCAAGTAAAGAGAACTTATATTTTGATAATCGAAATAAATGAATGACTTTCATTTCTTTTTCTTGCAATGTTTTCTAAACGGAAAACATTTGCTGTTTGTCTATTGAGTTATGCATGTAAAACACTTGTGAAAGCTTGCTTGGGTAAATTTGAATCACCTACCCTGGAGCTTACAGTATGTTCCAACAGTATTTCTTATTCTCCTGGGCCAGATTGTTCAAAAAACAGTTAATGTTAACCCATAATTGAAAATTAATCAAACTATCAATATTTCTTGTATAAGACTATTCTTCCCTGCTTATATATTGTGTAGTTTGAGATTATTCAAACTCAAATAAAGGAACAAGTAATATAAAAAGAAAACCCCACCAAAAAGTTTCAAAAATGACTTCAAAATTCTTTCTAATCCTGGGTTAGCATAATCAGGCTTTGAACAACCCTGGCCTTGAGCTTCAGCCTGTGTTTCTATTTAACAATCAGATTATGAGCTTGAGAGTTCTATTGCATGATAGCTGACGAGGGTGCAGCCCAAGTCAACTATCACGCATAGAAATCGAGAGCAAATAATCTAATTGTTTTGGTACAAATCTACTAGTTGTTCAAAACTTTATTTAAATCCTGCTCAAAGACACTTCGAAAATGCCAAGGAACCATCATTTTGTTAACAAGGGCACACTGCTACGTTGCTCACTGTCTATCACAAAATAGTGAGCAGCGTAGCCAATCAGAGGACGGCACTCGTGATGGAACACTAGTAGATTTATACTAAAATTGACAGAAACTTTGAAAATTATTTCTATTTCAAAAATATTTCTTCATTTGGTGATTGCACTGAATTTATAATTTTTCATTTTATGGGTAATTAAATGTGGGTCACTTCTCTTCTCAGATCATCTAAGGGTCATGTGAAGTATTTCCACGAGATCTTAACAAAGTTCTTTTCATTTCAGGTCTGAGGGATTGTGTATTTGTACAAAAGATGTCCTGAAGATTAGTTTTGTGTACAGACCTAGGCAGATGTTTTTATAAAAATGTCCAGTGATGTTCTCTCTGCTCTATCTAGTAGCTGACCTCGTGCTGTTAAACAAACCAATGAATATTGACATACACATCCGATATGGACAACAGTACTCCATTTCCTTGTTGCTAGACAACAGAAGGAATCATGAAATCGGACCCAAAACTATTTCAGAGTGTAAAAAGAGAAGTTAATCCCACTAATTTAATTTAAAAGATTGGCATTGTGAGGGTTAATCTTAGAATTACTGGAAGCATTGTTTTGTATGTTAGTTAAGCTCGTAATATTATAATGCATAAAGTCGTAAAAAAAAAATTTCCGTGATCTATTACTTACACTTTTATGAAGAAAGCTAAATTAACAATATTTAAACTACTTGAACTTCTGCCGAGGTTTTGATAAAAGTGGGTGAAGTTTCAGCCTTCAAACATGAGCGAGACATGTGAGGTTCCACTTGCGTTCAGGATAAAAAAATCCTCTCCAGAGAGATAATGGAAAGTCGGATTGCTTCCAAAGCCTTTTCTTACTGTAGTGAGAAGAGAGTGACTAATAACTGAACTGTAAAGCGCCAAGATAGGTGGAAGAAGAAAGGAGAAATATGTTTTATGTTACTAAGGTTATGCCATTGAAATGTCTCTCTAACTTAATGAAATGATATTACTGTTATTTACCTGCAGCTGTGATAATTCAAAAGGATCTTATCTGTATATTAGGGATCTTGAATGATTCGACAAGAGACTATTATTAAAAGGATGATTTTAAAGACTGCTTTGTCGTTGTTCTTTGTTACTATTTACTGTGTGGACCAAGCACTCTAACGCAGACGTCATTTGGACTTTTGGAAACCCTTGCCATTACTTGAAGGGTGAGTTTTGATACCATTTCAGAAATCAGGGACTTTAGGCCCCGGGTAGTTTTGGCAATCAGCGTAATCTGTGAGTAGTCAATGCCTTGCAAGGTAAGCAATAACGGTTAATAACCAACCTTAATACACGACTGAGTAAGTTCAGAGGGCCAATAACTAAAACCAACCAATCAGATTGCGTCATTGCCTGTCCAATACTTTCTCCGTATTGGACCGGGCACTCTCCCGAATGATCCCGTACGATCACTCGAGATTTGTGGTTGGTTTATGGCTTAGTGTCTAAAAGAACTTGTTTTAAATATAAAGATTTCGTTTCTTTTACTTCTAACTCTCTTTCCCTTCTGTTTGGTTTAACATCAGACGTGAGGATAAGCCTAAACGGCTCCCAATCCAAGTCCGGGATCGTGGCTGTGTTTTTCCCTTTCTTGTGGGATTATGCCATTATTGCATAATCCCATATAGTCGGCGATTGTCTTAAAGGGATATTGTAAATGAGTAATCTGAGAGGTAGACTGGGTACTAATATTTCGCGTGGTTGTTTTCAAGTAAAGGCAGCCATTGCTACATTTGTTGTACGTAGTCGTTGCTAGCTCTTGTCATGTTGGAATGTCAGAGAACTTCTTTTCGATTCTTTGCCCCGCTTTTTGTCTGGCTTTGATTGC